CGAGGCCGGGCGCGCCGCCGCGTTCGGGCTGGGCGAAGTGGTCGTGGGCAACGTCAGGGTGGGATAGGCTCATGGGGGGATGCGTCAACCCCTAATTCGTCCACTCGTCGCTGGTAGGGGTCCGCAAGCCCCGGCCCGCCCGGAAACGCGCGGACCTATCGGCGAAGGAGGAGGAGGAGGAGGAGGAGGAGGAAGAGGAAGAGGAGGAGGAAGTGGAGGAGGAGGAGGAGGAGGAGGAGGAGGAGGAGGAGGAGGCCTTGGGAAAGCCCGCCAGAAGTTTTTTTGTCCAGTGCACGGCGGCCTCTGGCGCCGAGAGGCGCTGGCGAAACTGGCGCGGGGCCTCCTGGGGAGCGCCCCCGAGGTGCAGGGCGTGGCTGGGAGCTCTCCCCACTGGCCTCCCCGGGGCTGCCTCTCGAGGTCTCTCGGGGGCCTCCGGGGTTCTCTCTAGGGCCTCTTCGAGTAGGTGATCTAGAACAGAGTTGATTAACCCCAACATTGATTTCCTCGTCGAGTCCATGAGAAATGCGTAGACCGCAGAAGAACAAACGACATAAATCTAAACTTTTGGTGCTCCGTGTGGATTTCTTGGATCCGCGCTGGGCCCCTGGAGCGCTCCGCGCGCCAGGGAGGGGGGGCCCAGCGCAGATCCAAGAAATGCGCGCGGAGCTCCAAAAGTTTAACTGATTATGCTATGGCCGTTTTTTCTTATTCTAGATCTACGAACATTGTACGTATGACTCGACGGGAGGATCGATTTTGGGGTAAATAGGTTCTGTAGGCGATCCGCTACTCTGCCTCTGCGGGACCCCTTGGGGACCTCTTGGGCCCATCTTAGGGCGCTCTTGGTCCGTCTGACGCCTTCGGAGGCCGTCTTGGGGGCCTCTCTGAACAACTCGGGGCTCTCCTTGGGGCGCTTTAGTGTCGCCTTGGAGGTCTCCTGGGCGTATCTTGGGGCCAGTCTTGGGGGACTCTTGGCCAGTCGTGGGGCCTCATTGGCCACTCTTTGGTCCCTGTTGGGGGCTGTTTTGGGCTTGGGGGCCATCTTGGATATCTATTGGCCCGTCTCGGGCAGTGGGAAGCCCGAAGAGGCGAGAACGCCAAAATCATTCAAGCACCTGTAGATCAAGGATCTTGGCTTATTCGGGCCCTACTGGAGTCCTCTTTGAGCTTTCTCGGGGGCATCTTGCGCCGTCTTAGGGTCATCTTGAGCCAACTTGTGGGTCGCAGTCGCATCCGCACAAGCACATGTAGCCGTATCTGTAGTAGTTGCTGTCGTCGGGGGCGTCCCAGATGTGTGTGTGTGTGTGTGTGCATGTGTGGATACCATGGCCCGGGCTACGGAGTCTCGCAGACTTCATCGCCCCCTCTTCTTTCAACATGCCCCCTGGCCCCCCCCCCTTCGTTCGCGCGCGTGCCGCGGGCCATGATGCGCTACAACCTCCCTCTTTCTGGCCCCCCTCCTTCGGCGCACCCGAAGCGGGGTGGGTGGTTCGCTTGGCCGGCGCCAGATCGCAGGTAGTGAACTTCTTCAAGGCCCACAAGATCTCCACGGCCGTCGCGGCGCACTTCACCAATGCCGGGCAACCTCGCGCCCGCGTCTTCGCATGCCACTCCGCCTCGCGCTGCTCCGTCCCGCCTCCATCGACAGTGAGGCCGACAGGGCGGTCGGTCGGTCGGTTGGATGTCCGCGGAAGAGCTCGTCTTGCGGGCTGCTGTCGCAGTTCACCAGGGGGCGGGGGGTCGGTTGATGGGGGAAGAAGGGTAGAGCAGGGGCGGAGCAGAGGTGGAGATTGTGGTCGTAGTGAGGATGTCGGCGATGGTGATGGTGGTGATGATCATGGTGTAGATGTTGTTTCTGCTGCTGCTGATCCTGCTGCTGATGCTGACGTTGATGCTACTGCTGCTGCTGATGATGATGATGGTGGTGGTGGTGGCCGTGGTGGTGGTGTTGACGAGCACGACGACGATGGCGACGTTGTTGATGTTGATGATGATGATGATGATGCTGATGCTGATGATGCTGATGCTGATGCTGATGCTGATGCTGATGCTGATGAGTATGATGATGCTGCTGATGATTATGATGACGATGCTGATGACGATGACGATGACGATGACGATGATGATGATGCTGCTGATGATGATGATGCTGATGATGATGACGATGCTGACGATGATGATGCTGATGATGCTAATGATGCTGATGCTGCTGCTGCTGATGATGATGATGCTGCTGATGATGATGATGATGCTGATGACGGTGATGATGATGATGACTATGATGATTACGATGGTGATGCTGATGATGATGCTGCTGCTGATGATGATGAGGATGACGATGATGTTGTTGTTGATGATGATGATGATGATGATGCTGCTGCTGCTGATGATGATGCTGATGATGATGATGATGATGATGATGATGATGATGATGATGATGATGATGAGATGATGTTGTTGATGATGATGATGATGATGCTGCTGATGATGATGCTGATGATGATGATGATGATGATGATGATGATGATGATGATGATGATGATGATGATGATGATGATGATGATTGTGATGGTGATTGTGATGATGATGGTGGTGAGGCGAATTTGGTTGTTGTTGCTGGTTATGGTGGTCCCGACGGGTGATTATGACTCCGATGGCCGCGGCCCTGCAATCGGGCTGAGCCACACCTTCCTCGCGTGCGGCCTCTGCCGCTGCTGTCTGGGCTGCTGTCTGGGCTGCGGCTGGTTCTTTGAGGATGGCGACGGCGACGATGATGGTGGTTGTGATGGTGGGGATGAATCATGCGGAGTGATCGTTGAGGGCAGGAGGAGGAGGAGGAGGAGGGGGAGGAGGAGGAGGAGGAGGAGGAGGAGGACGAGGAGGAGGAGGAGGAGTAGGAGGAGGAGGAGGAGAAGGAGGAGGAGGAGGAGGAGGAGGAGGACGAGGAGGAGGAGGAGGAGGAGGAGGAGGAGGAGGAGACGGATGTGCTGAAAAGGAGGGGGGGAATGCTGTTGGCCAGGGGACTGTGTGTTCTCCTGCCGCGACCTCGCCCAGTCTCTGCTGATTCAGACGCGTGTGTTCCGACGCACTCCGCCTGGATCACAGGCCTCGTGGCCGCGCAGTCATCTCATCCATCGTGGGGAAGTCTGGGAGGCCAGCCGCTGCGGTCCACGGTCAAGATGCTGAGATAGGGACCGCTTTGGGCTCGGGAGGGGCCCTGAGGTTCGGGCTGTTCCTCGGGTCAAGGTCGGGGAACCTGCTCGTGGCCGAGGCTCACCGTGGGCGGAGGCGCTTCGCTTCTGGTTCTGCGCTGCCAATGGTAGCACGATGACTGCATGCCGCATCAGTGTTGGCTCGCGACGCTCTTGGTCCCAGCCTTCTGCGTTGTTTTTGCCGGCAGACGCTTTCCCTGGCCCCCCCCGACTCTGAACGAACGAGATGGGCACGGAAAGAATGGGTACGATGCCCAACAGCAGTTCCTGTTCATTTTGAACAGGACTCGCTGTCCGCGCCGCCGCGGCCTGTGTCCATTTGAGACAGAAGGCCGCCTGCCCAACAGCGGCCGCTGTTGGTTCGGGACAACATTTGCTGTTGGGCATTGTGCCCATTGTTTCCGTGCCCATTTCGGGCGTCCACACCGACGGCGGCGCCGTGCATCCCGCGCGAGAGTTGCTCGGGACAGGCTGCCAGAGCGCTGGCGTGTGTGGGCTCCCGCTTTCGCGCTCGCAGACCTCTGGAACCATGCTTTCTGCGTTCTCGTGGCGACCCTCCCTCTCTCCCTCCTCCCTTCCCTACCCCGTCCTCGCTCGTCCCCCATTGCTCCTTTCTCCCTACTCCATGCCTCCATCTCCCTGCCCGTCCTCTTCCTCATCCTCCTTCTCCCCCCTCCTCTCGCTACCTCCCCTCCCCCGTCCTGCTCCCTCCTCCTGCTCCTTCCCCTCCCCTCTCCCCGCATCCCGGGGACAGCTTTTTCCCATGCAGGGTCGTTTTCGATTGCCTTGCGGCCCGGCAAGGCCCTCCAAGGGCCAAGACCTTGGGAAAAGCTGGCCGTCAGGATTGTTTTGTCGCCGTGATGCCGCGCGCCTGAGTAGCCAGAGGTGTCGGGAGGCTCTCTGGAGGCCCCTGCAGCCCCCTCCCCCCGGAGGCTCAAAATGAGGCAAGAGCGTCCAAAGCCCTCGACCCTCGAACCTCGAGCCTTGGTCGGCGGCGGCGGCGAGAGCGGCCAGCGAGGTGCGACGACGACGATCCAAGGAGAAAGGAAACATACCCTCGAACGTGAGCTCTCGGAGCTCAGCAAGTTCCCCCCCCCCCCAGAGGAGGACGCCGACGAGCAAAAAAGCGGCTGGCGAGGTACGACACGCTCGACACCCTCACGACGCGCGCCCCAGGGGGGGGGGGGCGGCTCGGGGAGGGCTGGGCCGGCAGAGGGCGACCGTCCAGCTGTCAACGGGCCGCGCTCGGCGAGAGCACCACCGCTGACGGCCCATCAGCCAACGGGTGACCAGCGAGGGCGCCACCGCCGTTCTCCGCGCACAGCCTGTCCCCCGCCCCTCCTTCTTCTCCCCCTCCTCCTCCTCCTTCTTCTCCTCCTCCCCCTCCTCCTTCTCCTTTTCCTCCTGCTCCTCCTCCTCCTCCTTCTCCTCCTCCTCCTCCTCGCTCGCCCCTCTGTCCTCCTCCGCCGCGCGCCCGCGGCGCCGGCACGCTCCCCGAGAGTGAGGGCCAGGAGGACGGATGGCGGGTTCGGTGTCGGGGCGGCCCTGGTGCGAGGGGTGCAGTGCCGTTTTTAATACATGCTCCGCGTGCGGATCATGCATTACAAATGCAGGGTTTAGTGTTAAAAAGAACGAGGAGTTAATGTATAAATTTATTCATACATTAATCATGTCTAAACATCGTTTTTTGATTTAAATCCCATGTATTAAAAACTGCCCTGTAGGGCTTCGACGGCACAAGCTGCCAACGTGCCGCGTGCCGGCACATGCCGGCGCATGCCTGCCCACAACAGTGGCCCTCCATCGCGAAGCGCGAATCAGGCCAACCATGGGGTTCAGCCCGACGCGTCCCTCCAACATCCATGCAGCACGTCGCCCACCTCCCCTTCTTTGCCTTTCCGTCTCTCCGTGCCTCCCCCCCTTCCTTCGCCAGGCTTCGCCCCGTCTCGTGGGATGGGGGTCGGATGTGGACGGGGTGGTGGGCCTCTGGCCTGGGCGGGAGCAGGCGGCAGGCGCCCCCCTGGCACAGGCCAGGGGCGGACGTGGGCCCACCAGGCTTCTCACCACGGCAGCTTTTTCGCAGGGTTTGGGAACGTTTTCCACCTCGACCTCCCTTCCCTCGCCGTCCACCTTCGTTCAGAAGAGTCGCAACAGGAGCAGCAGCAACAAGAGCAGATGTCTCGAGACGCAGCTCCACCGCGGCCGCCGCTGGAGGTGCAAGAGGGGGGAGGATTTAGGGTACACGGAGGAGGACACTTATCTATCTTCAGCTTTCAAGTTTCAGGGCCAACGGTCCGTGGCATGGAAGGCCCTCCCAGAGCTCCCCTTCTCGCGCCCCTCTTTCGCTCCTCCTTTTGTTCCCCTCTTGTCTTCGTCTCCTTTGCCTCGGGGTAGCCGTCTCCTTCGACCACAAGGCCCGCCGTATGCCGCAGCATGCTGCTGCAAATGGCCCTAGTTTGGTCACCCTCCAGGGCCGACATGCCCTTGGGGGAGGACAGCATCCGCGGGATCCTCGTCCTTTCTTTCGGGAGGATTTAGGGTACACGGAGGAGGACACTTATCTATCTTCAGCTTTCAAGTTTCAGGGCCAACGGTCCGTGGCATGGAAGGCCCTCCCAGACTCGGGGTAGGAGAAGCATGCTGCTGAGGAGGAGGAGGAGGGCAGATCCTCGAGGAGGAGGAGGAGGAGAGGGTGAGGAGGAGGAGGAGGAGGAGGAGGAGGAGGAAGATGAGGAGGAGGAGGAGGGGGAGGAGGAGGAGGAGGAGGAGGAGGAGGAGGAGGGGGAGGGGGAGGAGGAGGAGGAGGGGAAGGAGGAGGAAGAGAAGGACGTTGACGAGGAGGAGGGAGGAGGAAGAGGACGAGCAGGAGGATGACGATGATGATGATGCTGATGATGATGCTGATGATGATGCTGATGATGCTGATGATGATGATGACGAGGAAGAGGAGGAAGAGAGGGGGATGAGGAGGGGGAGGGGGAGGAGGAGGATGATCAGTAGGAGTAGGAGGATGAGGAGGATGATGATGCTGATGATGATGGTGGTGATGATAATGACGATGCTGATGATGATGACGATGATGATGATGATGCTGATGATGTTGTTGATGACGGTGATGCTTATGACGATAAATATGATGATGCTGCTGCTGATGATGATGATGATGATGATGTTGGTGATGATGAAGAAGATGATGATGCCTATACCGATGCTGATGATACTGGTGATGATACTGCTGATGATACTGCTGATGATGCTGCTGCTGATGATGATGATGATGATTATGCCGCCGACGATCGCGATGATGATGCTGATGAAGATGATTACGACGACGATGATGCTGTTGCTGATGATGATGATGATGATGATGAGGATGATGCGGAGGATTATGGTGATGATGTTGATGTTGATGATGATGCTGATGTTGATGATGATGATGATGATGATGATGATGATGCGGATGATGATGATGGTGATGATGATGCTGCTGCTGATGATGCTGCTGGTCATGATGATGATGACGAGGATGATGATTATGATGCTGATGATGATGCTGATGCTGATGATGACGACGATGTTGATGCTGATGAGGCTGACGCTGCTGCTGCTGATGATGCTGCTGATGATGATGTTGATGCTGCTGATGATGATGATGATGATGATGATGATGATGATGATGATGCTGATGCTGATGCTGATGATGATGATGCTGATGATGATGATGAGGATGATGATGATGATGATGATGATGATGATGGTGTTGGTGATTCTGATGATGATGCTTATGCTGATGATGATGTCGGCGATGATGATGCTGATGATGCTGATGACGATGATGATGATGCTGATGATGATGATGATGATGATGATGATGATGGTGATGATGATGACTATGATGATGAGTCTGATGATAATGATTCTGATACTGCTGATGCTGCTGTTGCTGATGATGAGGCTGCTGTTGATGAGGACGATGACGATGACGATGACGATGATGGTGATGCTGATGATGATGATGCTGATGATGATGCCGCTGATGATGATGATCATGATGATGATGATGATGTTGAGGCTGATGATGATGATGCTGATGATGATGATGATGATGATGATGATGAGGATGCGTAGGATTCGGATGATGATGATGATGATGCTGGTGATGATGATGATGATGCTGATGATGATGATGATGATGATGATGATGTTGATGCTGATGATGCTGATGATGCTGACGATGTTGATGATGATGCTGATGATGATGATGACGATGATGCTGCTGATGATGATG